GAGGCTGGTCATGGCGTCCGTCGTCCGCTTTCCAAATTTGAGTCGCTGCGACGCCACCTCAAACTCAATCCGGATAACGCCAACGCATGTTTGAGTCAATTGTTGAGTTTCTGGTGCGATGGAGCCGACAGAACTGTGGGAGGATGCGGCGACGCAGGCGAAGCGCAAGCAGCGCAAGGTCGCGTGGAAGGACTCGTACATGCGCATCTACGGCATGGCGCCGACGCAGCGGCAGCAAGACGAGACCGGCGCGACGATCGTCACGGAGGTCCAATGTCTCTTCTGTGCCAGTTTTGGCCGCGAGCAGCAGCCGCCAGCCGGCGACGCCGCACCCGCCGACGAGGTCGCGAACGAAGACGCGCGCAAGCGAGCGCGCAAGAAGTCATCCAACGTCAAGTACTTTGTCACGTTCCGCGTCGACCAGTTCACACAGCACCTCGCGCGCGAGCACCCGGCCAAGTGGGCCGCGTACCAGGAGATCCGCAACAACCCGGACGCTGCCGCCGCCTTCTTTCCAGAGCCGGCGGCGCCAACCTCCGTGTACGACGAGTCGTTCTTCTTCAAGGACATGGCGCCGATCACGTACGAAGCGACGGACGGCGACGTGCTCTCGTTCCGCGAGTACTGCGCCGACGAGTTCATCCTCGGCAAGCCCATGCACGAGTGGTGTCGCTTCGCCGTACGTCTCCTTCTCGCAGATTCGATTCACACGACTCGGCTAGATGTGCTTTTGGCATGGTTTTCGCACCAGTGAGAGCGACGCGACCATTCGCCGTCCGTGGAACGTCCTCGAGGACATGCTGCTGCAGGCCAAGCGGCGCATCGACGCTGCGTTCGAGTTTATGGAGCTTCTCGGTCTCCGACTCTTTGCGTTTCAGGACACGGACCTTGTTCCGGAGGGGTACGAGCACCACTGGGACGTCGTGCTGCCGTACCTCCAAGCCAAGATGCGCGACAGTTCGATTTGCTGTCTCTACGGCGCCGCCAACCTCATGGCCAACCGGAGGTACATGCACGGGTCGGCCACGTCGCCGTCGCTCGGCGTCTACCTCGAGGCCGCGGCGCAGGTCAAGCGCGCAATGCGCCTCACGCACCTTCTTGGCGGCGACAACTTTGTGCTGTGGAACGGCCGGGACGGACTCCCGTCGCTCGTCAGCACCGACTTGGCCAAGGAGGATGTTCATTACGCAATGTTTTTACGCATGGTCGTCGAGTACAAGACGTCGCTCGGGGCCACGTTCCAGCTGCTTTTGAAACCCAAGCCCGCCGACGTACGTACGCTACTCGTAACTCGGGTCCTCGACGTCTCAGGTAGCCACTGCAGCCAGCGTACGATCGAGATGTGGCGACGACGCTCTGCTTCCTGCTCCGCCACCGCCTTCAAACGCACTTCAAGATCTGCGTCGCGCCAACGTCCTCACTCGGGATCGATCCCATGCACGAGGTAGCGTATGCCAGCATGACCAAATGCCTCGGTACGGTCGCCGCAGAGTAAGATGAGGTTTATAGAAGGAGGTGTAGGCTCGATCGACTGCAGCATGGGCGACAGCTACCAAGTGCTCTCGGACGCCAAGCACGCCACGCAGCTCATGCGCACCGTACTTGGCTGCATCATCTTGACTGCGGGCTTCATTGTCCTGTTGTACAGGTCATCCAGCAACAGGGACTGGCGCCCGGCGGTCTCGCGCTCGACATTCGCGTCCGGCGCGAGTCGACGTCGCTCAAGGACCTCGTCGTCGCCCACATTAGCGCCATGGACACGCTTGCGCGCGGGCTGCGCAAAGCGGCCAACATGTACCTCAAGGGCGAGCTCGACCGCAAGGTGCAGGCGCGGTATGCGTCGTGGGACTGCCAGCTCGGGCGGCAGATCGAAGGTCGGGACACGACGTTCGAGATGCTCTCGACCAAGAGCGCACGGCACGAGCCATTGGCGTCCGGTGAGCTAGAGACGTTTGACCTCCTCTTCCAGCGCGGTTTGTCTTAATCGCATGTCATAACATCGTCGCATGAGGACGTAACAAGGTAGAGTCATATTAGCATGCAATGGTAGGGTGAGCAAGCACAGATAGTAGTAGAAGAAGAGGCGGAAGCTCAGTGCATCGCGTCGCGCTTGCGCTGCCACGACATTTGTGAAAACTGTGGGCTGTGGGGCACCGTCACATGACGCTTCTTGGCCGGGTCCTTGACGTCTTTGGCCGTCGTCTTGTGCACCATGGACGCCGACACGGACGACGGGAGGCGCGCAAACGTCTTCTTGGTCAGCAGGTTGACATAGTAGAGCCGGCCCGTCTACGCACCGAATGAGACAAGGGGTAGGGTCGTGTCGGCGCACCTTGGCGTCGGTCCGGCGCTCCCAGTTCTTGGGCAAGACGACTTTCTTGAGTAAATCGTTGGCGATACGCGCCGTTGTCTTGATCAAGCCTGGCTTGGTTGTCGGCGGCGCCGAGTGCACTGCCGACGGCGGCGCCGACGACGAAGGGGCCACCGTCTTGCCCGGGTGGTCCCACGAGCTCGTCTTGGTCGCGTGGTCGACGTAATAGACGCGGTTGTACTTTTTGTTGAAGCGCTCTTCCCAGCCCGGGGGCAACGGTGGCTTCTCGTCCTTGTTGTGGTCTTGGTTGGACGGTGGGCGTTGCTGGCGGATGTTCTGAATGGCTTCCAGTATCTCGTTGGCTTCGTCGTCGTCGTCGTTGTCGTCGCTCTCGCTCCACTTGTGCTCGTCTTGGCTGTCGAGACTCGGCTTCTTGGCCATGCCTTCGACGAGCACCTCCATGCGCTCGTCGTCCGAGTCAAAGACATCGCTGTCCCGGCGCGGGTTCGAGTTGGTGGATGGCGCGCTCTCAATGTACGACGACGAAGAGACGCTGTGGTGCTGCTGGACCACCCAGCTCTCTTTGGCTGGCGACGCTGTGATCGTCTCGGGCACCCCGCTGTCTTTCGGTGGCGTCGTCGACGCGCACTCGTTGTTGACCTTGACGTCAGCGCGAGGCCCGCTCAGGCTGTCGACGTTCTGCTCGACCTCCTTGCTTGACTTGGACTCGCGACGACTCGGCGGCCGTTCGATGACTTCGACCGGCCCCTTGACCTCGTCCTTCTTGCTAAAGAGGCGCACTTCGTTTTGGATAAAGCCGCGTAGCTTCAGGAGGCTAAACTCCTTCTGGTCGAAGTCGAAGTCGAACGTGTCGGCGACCTAGAGGAAGAGCGCTCATGACGGCGTCTCATACGCCACTCGTACCTTGAACTCCAGTGGCTCGCCAAACTGAAGGCGCACGGTCTTGAAGTACGGATGCTGCAACGCTTGGTCGGCCGTGATGCGGCGCTGGGGGTTGACGCACAGCAGCCGACGCAAGAGACTAATGGCTTCCGGACTCGCCTTGCGAAAGGCCTTGGTGAGCGCTTGCGGTGACGCGCGCGGAAGCGACTCGAGGAACTTGAGCGCGTCGCCTTCGACCTCGTAGCCGCTAGCCTCGGCGATAAGCACCTTATACGATCCATTGAGTTCTCACCGCTTTTCTTTCGGTGGAATCGGGAGCACCGAGAAGACGCGCGTGAGCTGGTCGATGAAATCAGCGCCTGGAAACAGCGGTTTGCGATTTAAGAGCTCGCCAAAAATGCACCCGATGGACCACATGTCGACAGCTACCACCACTGGTCAGTATCTGCACAGTCAAGTCCAAGTACCTTCGGCGTACGAGCCGTTGGGCGCGAGCATGATCTCGGGCGGGCGGTACCAGCGCGTCACGACGTACTCGGTCATGAGCGCGTCTTTGGCGACCGGCGCGTCCGAGTGGCTGCACGTGCGGCCGTTGGGCACAAAGCGCGACAAGCCAAAGTCGGTGATCTTGACGTCGCAGTTTTTGCTGATGAGAATGTTGCCCGGCTTCAAGTCCCGGTGGAGGACGCCGTTTTCGTGGAGGGCTTTTGCGCCGCAGAGCAGCTGGTACATGATGGCGCTAGCATTCGAGCTGCATGCGCAACGTGCGATACAACATAGCTCGACGTACGCAATGTGGTTTTCTTCGAGCTTGGTCTTGCTTTGAATGAGCCGGTGCAAGTCCGTGTCCACGAGTCCCATCATGATGTACAGCTCGTCCTTGGCGATGCACGTGCTCAGGTTTTGCAGCGACGCGATCTACGCAGCAGGAGCTCAATTCAGAAAACGTCGCCTTGTAGCGTACGTTGGGGTGGTCCTCAAAGTAACGCATGAGGCGGATCTCGCGCAGGGTGTGCTTGGCGTCCCACTCGTCGCCGGCCATCGGCGTGATCTTCTTGATCGCGACTTGCTGCAGCTGCTCCGTGTCATTGGCCGAGCTACGGAGTCGCATGAGCAACACGACCGTCATCATTGAGGCGAACCAGACAACGCCGTACGAGCCTTCACCGAGCACGTGGATCGCTTCGTACTTTGACGGCACGTTGAACTCGCAGCCTTTGATCGTAAAGCCAAGACCTGGCGCGTAGTCGCCGTCGTCCGAGGTCACTTTGACGGCTTCTTCCGGCCCGTCGTGGCTCGTAGGCGCCGCCTTGGCCTGGAAGGCGAGGACCTCGTCCTTGATGTACTGTCGCAGCGTCTCGAGTGGAAGGGACTGGTCCTCGAAGGCAAACTCGAGCGAGTGCGAGAGCTGCAGCGGCGGGATCGTGCCCCACTCGACGTCGACGCCCTTGAAGAATGGGTGAGCGAGCGCTTCGTCGACCGAGATGCGCTCTTTCGGGTTGAAGCAAAGGAGCTTCTCGAGGAGGTCTTTTGTGTCCGGGTGCTTGCCCTTGCAGATCTTGTCGAGGGCGTTTGGCGGCGTCGCGGGCAGAGACGCGAGAAACTTGAGTGCGTCCTTCTCGACCGTGTAGCCGCTACGTTTGCGATAGTACAATGGACGTATTGACGACAACCCACCGCTTGTGTTTGGGCGGAATGTCAATGACCTTGAAGACGCGCGTGAGCTGGTCCATAAAGTCGGAGCCCGGGAAGAGCGGCTTGCGCGTAACGAGCTCGCCGAGGATGCAGCCAACGGACCACATGTCGACAGCTACAACACCAATGGCCATGAGATGCGACGTCCCTCGTCACAGTGCTCAGTACCGCCATCGTAGACGCCGTTGGGGGCCAGCATGAGTTCGGGTGGCCGGTACCACCGCGTGACAACGTCTATACACCGTTAGCAAGCGTACGGACAACCACTTGGGCGTACATTCTGTCATGGGCGAGGACACGGGGTCTGTTGAGTCCGGGTCGTGGTTCTGAAGGTCTTTGGGCACCATACGGGCGAGGCCAAAGTCTGTAATCTAAGTGGGATGCGTCAGTCGTCGCAGGTGGCGCAGGATGTACCTTGAGTTCGCAGTCCTTGTTGACGAGGAGGTTGCCGGGCTTGAGGTCGCGGTGGAGGACGCCATTGTCGTGCATGGCCTTGACGCCTGAGAGCAGTTGGTACATGATGACCCTGTCGATCGACGTCCATGAGGAGGCGATACAGGTCATTCCAATGGAGCGTACCGAATGTGGCCGTCTGTGAGCGGGCACGAGCTCTGAATGAGGCGGTGGAGGTCTGTGTCGGCGAGCTCCATCATCATGTACAGTTCGTCCTTCTCGACCGACATGGTCAAGTCCTTGAGCGAGATGATCTACGGACGCGCATCCATGAGAGGCTGCATGTCGCCGCTGAGCGCGTACGTTTTCGTGCTCGCCGAGGCAGCGCATGAGGCGGATCTCGCGCAGCGTGTGCGTCGCGTCCCACTCGTCGCCGGCCATGGGTGTGATCTTCTTGATCGCGAGCTTCTCCTGCGTCGTCGTGTTGAGGACGGAGCAGACGACGCCGTACGAGCCTTGGCCGATGGCGTCGAGCGGCTCGTACTTGGGCTCGACGTGGAAGGTGCAGCCATTGATCGTGAAGCCGAACTCATGCTTCACGGGCGTCGCGTGCTTGGGCATGGACGCTCGATAGGAAGAATCGAATTACGTCGACCTCGGCGCTCTTGCAGCTGGGAGCGTGAAACGCTCTGCTTTTTATATCTACCCGTCGACGCGTCCCATTGGCTGAAATCACACCCTCCTCGCGCATGATTGGTGCATCCCCGCGCGTTATTTAACCGCCCTATCACGCCTAATTATATACTCCGCGAAAGCTATTTAAGTCGCACCTTGATTTAGACCATGCCAGGCGGACGCCATGGCGATTGCTAGCTGCATGCTTGGCGACGGTGGACGCCATGAGGCCCATGCGACTGCTTGCATCGCGTCGAGAGATTCCGCAGTATAAGGTATATTGATAAAGCGTTAAAAGGGCACCTTCCACCATGCAATGAATTCTTCCCAGTCGATCGTGCCACTAGGAGCACGAGGTACATGGAGCTGCCAGTGGTGGCGGCGCTTCGTACCTGCCATCCGCGTCAAACTCCATGATGAGGTACTCGAGCTCTTCCTTGGAGAGCGGCTCGCCGAGGTCTTCGGCGATCTTGCCGAGCTCTTCGGCGTCAATGTCGCCGGTCCCGTCCTACCTCGATGGTGAAGTTGGTTGCATGCTATCGCTGCGTCTACCTCGTCATAGTCGTCAAAGACCTTGCGTAGCTCTTGCTCGTGCTCCAGCGACAGCGCCTACGACGTCGTTGCATGAGCCTTCGTCGCCCAGCAGCTGCATGGTCCGTACCATGACAAATCTCAACTGCGCCGCTTCAACGACCGGTTACCGCAACCGTTTCAGTCTCGGTATCCGGATAGCCATAACCGGATTCCATTCCAGCCAATGGCCTTGGACGTGGCATGATTTGGCACGTTATGATTGGTGGCTTTTCTGGCCGGGCGTATCCTTCGAGAATGCAGTCTGCAGCCGGTCCTTTCGTTCGCATGCGCTGGGTCATCCTCACAGCGCTGATCGCCGGCGCCATGGCCTGCGGCGACAACGCGCCGCTCAACCGCCTTGACACGTGCGCCACGTACGCGACGCGATGCCCACGAGACGACATGTACGAACTAGCCTTGCTCAATGGCTGCCCTCGCTGCTTCCTTCGCGCAACTTGCCAGCTCCAGGATGACCTCGACGAGCAGTCGACCACGCCCCATAGCAAGGTGCCCATCTTCAAGCCCGCGTTTGGCGACGTATTGCGCGAAGACGAGGTGCTCTTCGCACACAAGGGCATGCTCGCAGCGATCGCCGCCGTGTGCGCCATCGTTGGCGTTCTCATTGCCGCTGCGATGCGCTCGCGCCGACAAGCGCCGACGAGCTACTACTCGCGCATTCGCAACCCACTCATGGAGGACGTTGACGAAAACGACGACTTGAACCCGTTCTGCCAAAAACTACCACCCGACGACGAATCCATGAGGCTCAAGAGTCCTCGGGCAAAGGGCGTCTTGGCCAAGATCATCCAGCTATAGCAGTTGCGCCATGGTCGCTGTAAAACCCTCCATGAGGACAATGAAGCTCATGTCTCATAGCCTTTTAATGCCAATGCGCGAATCGTGGTGATGCATGGACACGGGCACGGAGCCATGCGTCGCCGTGCACACAGTGCGACACCGCTTGATGCGGTCTCTCGTCGAGCTGAATGCCACGTTTCCTCGCATTGCACTATAGCACTACAATCTAGATGAGCATTCTCTGCGCGCAACGCGTACCCGAGGACGCCCCAGGTAGACTCTGCTTGCGTTCATAATAGAGGTGACATGTAGTTGAGAAGCGTTAACTTTATGCGTCGTCGTCCATGGCCGGCGTGTACAGCACTGCCGCATCTTGCACGCGGACGACCTTGCTAAAGTAGCGGCGATCGAGAAGACCCTTTTCGCCAGCACCAGCACACAAGAGGACGTTGTTGGCTGAGCGGAAAAACGGAATGCCATCCGCCAGCACCTTGGCAACGTCGACGTAGATCTTGAGCTGGACGGACGTGCGCATGCCGCTAATGACCTCGTTCGCACCCACATCGCCAGCGGCAAAGTGAATGTGGTTGCGCTTCATGCGGCAGAGGCCTTGGTGGAAGATGGCCTCCCAATGGCGAAGGTACGTTCCGTGGATGCACACGAGGCCGATGGCCTCGTCCGGTTGGATGGGCGTCAGCAGCTCCGTGTCGAGGACAACTGGAATCGAGTGGCCCTGGTTGGCGCGGATGCGCCACTGGCTGCTATCGGCGTCATTCATGTCGAGCGAGAAGCGCTGCTTCGAGTCCAGCGCGACGACACGCTCGAGGTCGGCGAGCGCGAACTTCTTAAAGTCGCGCATGGCAAAGATCGCGCTCAGCGGCACGTAGCCATCGGCCGAGATCGGGAGCTTGAGGTTCACGGCGCCATGGCGCAGTACGTACGTCAGCCGCTTGGAGAACCGGACGTCGTCGGAGCTGAGCGCCATTGATGCCGATGGAATAATGCGATGCAAACTGCACCCCATATGGACCATCACTCACGCGTGTTGGGTGCGTTTAGCCACGAACGTTCCTCGCATCTTCGTTGCGCGATCTTGCGATCTTCCTGCCCAAGATGGTTGATGGTACTTGGCGTCCACTGGTGCTCCATGGCCATGACCCGGGCATAGCAGCATGGGCGCGATAATCGACGGGCAGTGGTGGTCGCGCTGCCTTTACCACCCACAGCCCTTCGTACATACTAGCTTGCATCATCCAGTACTCGAAGCACGCGCCATCATTTTGTCTGAATCTGGCGTCAAATTTGGTCAACTAGCTGCTGGTGATGGTCTTTGTTGCGCTTATTCGAGCAAGTTGGATTGCACTGCGACGGCGATCGCAGCACTCTGAAACATGGAGAACGGTTTGGTGTAGTGCACAAAGAACTTGCTCGCCGCAGCGTCCTAGTCATCACAACTTGCTACAAACCACGACTACAAGTGGCGTAACCTACCCCTTCCTTGTCGATGCGCAGCCACGACGTTGCAGTCTTTGGGCACTTGACGTCCACGAGCGGGTTTGTGAATTTCTACCGCATTCAGTCGATAATACCCTGCGGCAAATCGATGGGATTGCGCACTTCGAGAACTGAGGAGCAGGTCTGGGTGGCGTCCTTGGGCGCGGCTTTGCCTCGAAGCAAGCTCATGAGCGTGTTCTAGCGCTGGTTAGCGCCGAAGAGGCGCCGCTGCCCACCTGAGGTTGCAGCTGCACATCCAGCTCATGCTTGCCGTCGCGCAGCTCGAGCGTAAAGACGCTGCGCTGCTTGATGTGAGGGCACACCATCTACCCATAATACGGTTATGGAATAGCTTTGGCAAATCTCTTCTTAAAGACCTTGTAGCGCTTGCCCAGGGGCGTGGGTGCCACCGAGAGCTTTCCCGCGTAGCTTGGGTTGTTGCGCTTGCACGCCTTGGTCTCGCTCAAGCTGGTGCCAATGTTACGCCGCGTACTAGATGAACGCAACAGACCTGAATCGAATCTTGAGCTTGTTGGCGCAGCTCCGCCCGTAGAGGCAAAAGTCCTGCTGCGTCTCGGTGACCTGCGGAAGGTAGATCTTGAAGTACTTGGCGCCGTACTGCTTGAGCATCGTCTACGAAGAAGATGTGTTCATTGCTTCTTCCTCTTTGTCTCGTACCTGGTCTGAGAGGCAGAGTTCCATGATGAGCACGCCCGTGTCCGCGGGCCTCAAATGCAGAAACCCCAGCGGACTCTTGCGCAGTGCGACATCGTCGTCCTACACGCCCTCGTCGGCGACTATAGCTGGCAATGGCCACCGACCTCGGCGTCGACGATGACGCTCCGACGCTTCTCGGGCTCGACAGGCGGTGCGGGGACCACCGTTGCGTCGGCCGGCGGTGCATCTGTCTTCTCGGGCACCGGTCGATCGTTCACAAACCAGTCCTGGGAAGCGTCGTCGTCGTCCGAGTCGGCCTCCTGGAACTGCGCCTGGAGCCTACGATCTCTCAGTCCGCAAATATCCTATCTCAGCGACAAAGCACTTGGAGGAGAGCGCGACGTGCGCAGGCGACAGGTGCGTCTCGCGCCGGACCTCGGTCGCCTTCTTGGACCGGTCGACGCACGGGCTCGCTTGCATGCAGGAGTATTTTTAGCGCTAACACCGTTTCCATGTCGACGCTCGACGGTCGGCGGTCGGCGGCAAGGACACCGACGGCTCATCGACGCTGGTGCACCCGCGCTACTGCAGGCGTCCACGACAGCCGTGTCGCAATACGTGCGACGCTGACGGCCGACGTCGTCAACGACGGCCATGACGTGGCAGCCTAAAAATAGTTTATTTGCAGCGCGATGGCCGACTACTACGACGCGCTGCGGGACGCCGTCTGGAACGACGACCTCGAAGCGCTCCAGATGTGCATGCACGCGGGTCGCATCGACGTCAACCACACCGACTCGGTACGCTCTTGGCACCCGCCATCTCACGTTGGGATGCGCTGCGTAGGCGGGACAAACGCTGCTGCACCTGGCGTCGTTCTGGGGCCGGACCGAGATTGTGCGACTGCTCGTGTCCCTCGGTTCGATATGTGCCCACGGAGCGGGACGACCTCTCATCAACATTGGCGTAGGCGCAAGCATGAAGGCCAAGAACGCGGTGAGCGCGCAGCCTCTGCCCGCGCTCATGGGTGGTTGGCTGTCGTAGGCGGGCTGCACTGCGCTCGACTTGGCGATTCACTGGGGCCACTCGGCCACCGCCGAGATGATTCGTTTGCGTGGTACGCGCGTCCTGACATTGCGAATGCTGAGGCAAGTACTAGGCGGCCTCAGCGTGTGGGAGGAGAAGATGGGGCTGCTCCAAATGCAAGTGGAGGACCTCTCGACCGCGCTGGCCGACTGCGAAGCCGAGAATCGACTGAAAGACAGTCAGCTGAGTGCGCATCGCGCCGAGATTCTGGAGCTGCACACCAAGTGGCGCGCGACGCTCGATCTGCTCGACGCGGAAACCAAAAAGGGCGTGGCCATGCAGGCACGTCACGACGACCTCGCACGCGTCACGGACAAGCTGCGCGCGGACGTATCGGACCTCAAGCAGGACTTGCACGAGGCGCAGCTCGAGGCCATTCGAATCGATATGGAACGCGTGGCGGCCGAGACGGCGCGCGACGCCAGTCTCCAGCAGCGCGAGGTTGCGGTGCGCGCCGCCGCCGACGCATGCGCCGTTCAGGTCGAGCGCCTTCGCAACTGGCAGGCCGCCGAAGCCGCGGCAGTCATCATGGAGACGCAGCGCAACGCCGCGTGCACCGAGCGTGACGCGGTAGGCTGCACCCGACTTCTCTTCTTCCGTTCACAGTGGTGTAGATCAAACTGCGGGCGAGTGCGATGGCGATCGAGCTGCGGCTCGTGACGGAGCGACTCGAGTTCACTCAAAGCGAACTCGCAACGCTGCGCGAAGAGACGCTCGAGTTTATGGAGGCGAAGCGCAAGGAAGAAATTCGCCAGCGCCGGGCGGTGCGAGCGTTGGAAGTGATTTCGGCCGACGACCGCCTCGAAAAGCTTCAAAAGGCGAAAGAGTATGGCAACCAGTTGAAGAACCAGCCTTCGGTGCAGATGGCCTTTGCCGTATCCTCCTAACGCTACCTGTAGCGAGAGAGCAGCCGCAGCCCCACAGCGATGCGTGTGCAAACAGCGGCGGCTCTCGTGTCGCAGGAGCTGCACCCGGACTTGGCGGTCTTCGAGGAGGCGTTTGTGCACACAGTCAAGTCGTTTACTGAGGCGCGGCGAGACAAGTGGGCGGCGCTGGCGACCCAGACGAACGAAAGCCAGAGCCAAGCGCGCTTTGCGGTCGCGCGGCCGCTCTTCACACCGGCGTCGTCCAGCCCCGCGGGTGGGTCTCGTCTCTGCAACTGGAGCGTATGACAGGTGACGTAGGCGCCAAAGTCAACTGTGCCGTGTACGGCAAGTATGCCAAGACCCAGAGACGGCCCGGAACGGACCACCGGTCCCAAGCACAGCGGCACGCGCAGCTGCCTCCGATGCTCACGAAATAGAGAGCGTCTTCGGAGAGTAATTTAACTCGAGGAGTTCTTCCTCCACGCTCGCGCGTCGGACGTATCCGACGTGACTGTCTATCTGTTCTTATTTATCTTGTTGTCTATCGAGCGCATGGCGCAACGCCCTATCCTTCGTTCATGCTGCATGTTGCCTCGCCTGGTGCCAAGTCTTGGTGCCACATCGCCTTGAAAGCGCGAGGATTGATACAAAGTTGATACAAAGTTGATACAATTCCGGCGACAGAAGATATCACCGGGCGATCGAGCCATTGAAATCGTGGCGCACCGTAGTAAATTGCACGCGTAGCGGGCAAACGCGCGAAAAATGCAAAATTGCACTCCAACGGCGTCGACGAGTGTGCGGGAACCAAGCTACGTCACACTTCATCGTGACCCTCTCAAGTGGGGGTTGCGACTACCAGTATTCGGGTTTTGGCGGTTGAATCTGAATGTCCAACTCCAAAAATATGTTTTGTTCACCCAAAGCTGGTTTTGACCAACGAAAACGATGCGAGCGTGGACCACGCTCACTTTAGATTTGGGTCCCGTGACTCCTCCCGAGCAAACTGCCTGTGGAACCTCCAAGATGGCAGAGTGCAACATGAACACCCACTACTGCGTCAGAAACATCAATGGCACATCGGGACCGCGGTACGCCAACTCGGGCTCCAAGACTGCGAGTTCGTGGCTGCAAATGTGGCGCGACGCGACTGGGTCCAACCGACGAACTTGCTGCATCAACGGCTGCTCGAGAGAGGACCTCGTTGGCGCGCACGTCATGATCACGGACCAGCGCTCGTACAACACGTGGTACCTCGCGCCCTTGTGCAAGGGACATAACCACTGCTCCAACACGGACGGCATGTGGATCGCTCGCAACGTCAACCTCATCGCCGTGTCCAACTGAGTCCTCGACTGCCGCCCGCACAAGAAGCTATCACAATAGCACCCCACCACCGACTGCAGTTTTTTGTAGCTTTGATTCTACAATATGAGCTGTAGCGAGCGAACTCACCTTGTGACAAACCTCGGGGCTAGCTACGCTGCTTGGGTACCAGTGGTACTGCACTAGAGTAGGTCAGAGCATGCATAATCAGCTTGGATTGGTTGTGTGCTGCGTTGCACAGAGTACATATGGGCGTGTGACGGCGCCTCGCGGCGGCGGATCCGTGCCTGAGCGGGCTGCAGTCGCCATTGTGCGGCGCGGCGACGACGAAGACTTTGGCCGCGTCGGCGACTCGGGCGCTGCAAAGCTCAGTGTGCGCATCGAGTTGGGCTCGTACTTCGTCGGGCTCATTGTTGTTGTCGTTGTTGGTACCGAGGCCTGCCGAATCGACGTCATGAGCTGCGTCGTCTCCTTCTTGTACATGGCTTTTGTGAGCTCAAACGTCGCCGAGAGAGTGTGCAGCTCTGACTCGAGGCGCGTGATTGTGCGTTGCTGATACAAAGTTGATACTTTTCGAGCTCCAATCAACACGCACCGCTGCGTGGAGAGCGGTCTCCACTACCCGCGTTTGTCCGTGAAGAGCGCTCTGCGTCACTTCCAAGTCCTTGCAGCGCTGTCGGAGCTCGTTGCAGAGTGTCGCGTCGCCGACGTCATGCGTAGCCTCCAGAGCGCGCAGCCGGTCGTTAACGCGGGTTATTTCACTTCGTAGCGCGTGCATCTCCTGTAGGACCCGCATCGCACAAGTCTCTTGGTTCGTCGTACCTCGTCTTTGGCGTCGAAGAGCACCGACTGAGCGTCCGTGTGGCGCTCAATGTCCAAGCTCACGGCCGCATTCAGGTACTCGCACTGCCGGCGCAGGTTCTACGCATCTTCTGTGCTTGTGATGTCTATTAAGGTACACGTACGAATGCAACGTGGTCGACGACCGGCGAGAGTGTCTCGACCGCGCGGCTGGAGGTCGCATCCAGGAGATCGCGCATCTTGGTTTGCGCCAAGTCCAAGACGTCGCCGTAGACGCGGCGCATGTCGGAGGAGAGCGTCTTCTTGCGCAAGTCGACCATCGCGCGGTCGCGCCAGTCCTGCACGCGCGCTGCGTTCTCCTCTGGCGCGTACGTGGCCGCAATCGTCTTGCGCAAGTGGTCCATGAGCTCGGCCGAGCCCGCGAGAAACGTTGCCCGCGCATCTAGCAAGACCCTATGACGACTAGTATTCGTGCAGATGCACCTTTGGGCACAAGGCCGCGCGTCGCCAACGTCGAGTGGCACGCCGCCAACGCCGCCGTCTCGGCTCGCTTTTGCATTGCGACGCGACGAGTAGCCAACGGTTTCACTTTGCACTTTCCAGTCTCGTCAAACGTTATGCTCAAGGAAATATAAGTTCATTAGTAATGAACTTTTATTTACACTAGACGAGGACGTCGGGGGTGTGGGCGACGTGGAGGAGTTCGTGGAAGAGGTGCCACGCGTGCGTGCCCTGCAGCGGCTCGTCGCGCAGGATAGTTTCGAGCGGCGTCACAAGGCGCAAGCCCGCGGTGCTGTCAACGTGCGTTTGGTGCTCGATGCCGGTCACAATCTCGTGGCTCGAGGCCGCCCACACGTTCTTGAGGAGTGTATACGCCAGGTTGGCTTGCTGGAGAAGTGCGCCGTCGCCAGGCGCGGCAAACCAAAGCAGCGTTTTGTCGAAGAGAGCGCTCGCTTCGGCGGGTACAACGCTTTGCTCCAAGCAAGCCGCGCTGCAGTGCAGTGGCTTGGGCCGCGCCGCCACCTAGAGTACAAATGGTTTAGCCACTTTGTTTGAACGAGCTACCCGCAGTGCCGACTGGTACGCGCTGGCGACAGCATAAGGGTGGGCGCGCGCGTTGAAGCCGGCGACGATGGACCGAAACGTCTCGAACGAGTCGACGGCCAGCGCCGCTTGCCCAAAGCTCGTCTCGATGAGCAGCTTGGTGCTAACGTACCGCGCTTCCCACTCGTCGACGCAAATGGCCAGCACGGCATACAGAGGCATCCACATGGTGCCATAGATCTGCGTCAAGCTCACCACTCTGCCTTTAGCGCGAGACACGATGTCGGGGGTAAAATGCATCAGCACGCTGTTGATCGCGTCAAACGCTTGCTGCTGGCCGACAAACTCGCCGCCGTCGCTCTCGACGAGGTAGTAGCCGTCGTGCGACACTTTGGCGAGCACGTGCAGCGCGTGTACGACAAACCAAAACGCCATTGGCGGGAGCGCGTCGACGCCCGGAAGACCCAAGAGGCGGCTCCAGAGATGAATCTTCTCGCTCTGCGTGTCGAGGTGCGCAAGACTCGTTAATAAGTCGACGAGCCGCTCGTTCGCAAAGCGTGGCACGCGGAAGCGCTCGAGGTAGATGCGGTACACAAAGTCTTGTGGCGACAAGGCGAGGAGCTCCTTGGGCGCCTGGGCTTTGCTGCCGTCAAGGGCGCCGCTCGAAAGCTGCAAAACAATCTCGTTGATGACGAACGAGAGAGTTCGATGCGTCGCGGGCACCGTGTAGTTGTACGGCACATACTCGGCCCGCAGGTGCTGGACGCAGTGCTGGAACGACGTTGGCACTGTCCGCTTGAGCTCGCCAAGGCGCATGTTGGGCGTATGCTCCAACGAGCGCACCACCACTACGCGCGCTTTAGCAACGACACAAGGCATTTGAGAGGTCGTACCGTGCGCGGTGGCCGCCATGCGCGCGGCTTGCTTCATGTGAGGATGCCCACCGCGGGGGCGCTGCGCCATGAGCGGAGCCTCTGTTTGGGCACTGCGACTGCAGCGTCGGCGCGCCGGCGCACTCGTATGGCCCTCGACCGCCGCAATGAGCTCTTGCAGCTGACTTTCCATCTCCAACAGTTCTTGTATCGGAGGAATGAAGAACGCGTGCTGCCATACGTCTTGCGGATCCCACCCGAGCGCGCAGTCGGGACTGCTCAGCGTGGTGAGGAGGGCGAGGCGCTTGAGCGTCGCTTCGAGCTCCTTCCGCACGGCACTGGCTTCGAAGCTCGAGAGAATGCTGTGGCCGTGGTGCTACAGCACTGGTCAGATGCCGTTGCCAAGTCCGTGATGGCGCACTGTCGCGGCGTCCTCGGTGGGCGCCAACGCAGATGCAAACATCCGCACAAAGGCGGTGCTCGGAGCGACGCTAAACTTGGCGTCCAGCGACCGGCGAAGCTCTTCGACGACCTCGATGCCAGTGCAGAAGCGAGGCACGGCACGCGGCTGGTCTGGGAACGCTTCAAGCACGGTCTGGACGAACTGGCTTGTCAGACGCACGAGGATCTGGTCCTACGCGCCAGAATGACGCTCTATTGTCGAGTCTGCGACGTACGGCGGCCAGATACTTGTTGAGGTCGTTCCGGAGCCGAATGCCAAGGTCTTTCTCGGCCGCCACAATCTTGTGTTTGTGCTGCAGCTTTTCGTGGAGGACCTCCATGGTCGCACGCTGCTGCGCGTGGCGTCGCTCGAGCTGGTCCACTTCCACCTAGTACCTCCGACTCAGATCCAGATGCAGATCTGGACGAGGTACTTTGAGCGTCTTGAGCGTCTGGCTGAGCACGACGATCTCGTCTTCGATCGTCTTGTTGATCGACGCCATCATGCTCGAGACGCCGTGCCAAAGGCCGTAGATAAAGTGACTTGACGTCGGGCACTTGTCAAAGACGAGCCGCGAGAGCTCGTAGACGACCGCGTCGGCGTAGTCGAGCGTCAGCGTGAGCTTGGCGTGGCACTCGGTTTCATTTGCCTGCGCGGCGCAGAGCTTCTCGTACCGCAGGCGCTGCCACTGCAAAAGGTAATTCACTTGGTCTTTCGAGAGCGGTGGCCGCGCCTACCGCCCTTGCCTCGCACCAAGTAGCAGCCGAACGTATGCACCTTGGGGAATTCAATGACGGTCCAGGGCTTGGCCGTGTCCAGCGTCTGCAGATTCAGCGAGACAGAGCGCAAGTCGAAGCGCGACTCGACGGGGCAGTAGTTGTAGATGCGCTGGATGACTTCGTCTTTAGCCACCTAGCTTCAACGTCTGGAACGTGATCGACTCTCGACGGCAGCTTACGCGGGTCAGCGGAAAGGCGCGGCACCGGCGAACATGCCGGTACGAATTATCGGGCGCAACCTTGGGCAGCTCGAGGCGACGGGCGTTGGCGCGGGCGTCGTACGCAGCCTTGTCAGTGAGCTCAAATGCGAGCGATGGTGGTTTGCTGCAGCGATGCCGTGGCGACGTGAGGGCGAGCTTGAGCTCTCGGAGCTGCGCCCGTGGAGACGGCGCGCTCGGCGCCTGCTCGGGACCGATGGCAGCGACGAAGGACGCGATGTGTGTCCGGTCTTTGGCGGCCTTGCGCACCAGCATCGCCTCGATGCGGTCGAGAAGGCCTGCAAGCAGCTTGGTCCAGCCCGCGTGGAACCGGTCGTCGTCCTCGTCCTCATTGAAGCACGCTTGAACGACTTCCAGCGCGATGGTCAACGTGTCCAAAGGCGTGAGTGGGTGGTCGGGGTCTGACTCGGCGGCGACCGCATCCGCGATCTTGCGCTCGACGCCCGCAGTGCTCCACGGAAACTGCACCTCGCTGCTATCGTCGTCGCCCTAAGTACCAGCGTTCTGTTCCGACGGTGGATGGTTCGTAATGGAGGCACCCGTAGACGAGGCAGCGGCGGCGACGTCGGTAGAGAAACCAGCGCATGGTCGAGTCGACGCTGGAGGTTGCGCAGGATTGTGTCGAGCTCCTTGCGCTGGTGGTCGTCGAGCTCGGTCTGGAGCACGTCGAGGGGCTTCCCACGCTCGAGAACGACTGGCTCAGGGAGGTTGGGGAGCACGACGCCGAGCCGCGTGCGCTTGAAGACCTTGCTCTCACCGACCATCGACCGACCTTGAAACCGACAGGACAGAAAGGCCACTTCTAAACCCACCCAACTCTGTCTCGCACCCAAATCGCGACGCAGCTGGTGTCCGATCCCGCCCCAACCTACCCGCCAACGACCGTGTGCAACCGCGCACCGTCGATGCGTCTGCACGGCGGCGCGGGCATGCTGCGCTTGCTGGGCTCTCGGCCGCCGCTCGTATAGCGCTCGCACCGCGTCCTTGCCGGTGCTCGTCGTTGTTTGCAACAGCTGGGCGTTTACATGACACGGACGTGGCAACGTCATGGAAGTGAGTTGCGTGCATTTAGCGTCGACGGTGACTTTGCCCTTTGGGTGCATTCTTCAATTCGCTTCGTACTACGACCAGCAGCAGCATGGGCAACGCGGCCTCGGACATCTCGATCTTTGCCGACGGCGAAATGGAGCACGAGTTTGCTGCGCACGGCGGCACGGGCGACGTCTCGGTCAAGGAGCTCATCTCGGAGGGCTACAACATGGTCATTGACTCGGTCATCCGCCCGCCGCGCGCCGCGTACGACCTCGACGAGCTCGGGCCCGAGAAGCTGACGCTGCACGACCCGCTTACGCAAGACGCCGTGTACGCCAAGCGCGTCGACTTTACGCTCCGCAACGAGCGCCACTTGAACCTCTCGTGCTCGCACTGGCAGCTGCTGCAGACCGACGAGCTGACGCCGCGGCCGGTACGTCCTATGATTTGGCGCTCGACATGATGACCCTGGTGCGTATGTAGAGCTCGTGCCTGATCTACCTGCACTCCAACTTGGGCTCGCGCAAGGACGTGCTCAAGCTCCGCGACGAAGCGCTCGCGCTCGGCTTCTCGGTCCTCGCATTCGACTGCTCTGGGTCAGGCAACTCGGATGGCATCTACGTCACGATGGGCTGGAACGAGTCGATGGACCTCAAGAGCGTGCTCGACCACCTGGAGGGAGATGCGAGTGTCGTCGACGTCGTCTTGTACGCGCATAGCATGGGCGGGTACCCCGCGCTCCTCAACATTGCGAGCCGCGCCCAGGACAAGACGCACGAAGTGGCCATCGCCGGCGCCAACGTCGACGCGATTCCCGCGCCGTTCCGCCGCAGCAACATGACGCCGTACACCAAGCCGATCCGCGGCCTCGTCCTCGACAGCGGTAGCGCCACCGCGTCGTTTCCTCCGCGTCCTCATCCTATATGTAGCGTACAGCACGATGGACATGGTCACGGACGAACTCGTCATGAGCGTCCGCCAAGAAGGCTTCCAAATCCCGAAAATGCTTCTCAAGACGGCCACGAAATGGGTCGAAAAGTCGGTCGAGAAGCGCGCGGACGTCGACCTCAGCGTGCTTCGACCGGTCGAGTTTGCGCCCATGTGCAAGGTCCCCGCGCTGCTCGTCTATGGTCTCAAGGACGAGTACATCATGCCCGAGAACGCGTTGGAGCTCGACGCCAAGTACGCAGGGCCGCATGCGACGATGGCGCTCGACGTCGACCATTACGCCAAGCGCGACCTCGACTCGTACCGGACGTCGCTCCTCTTCCTCCGCGTCGTCGTCACCAAGCTCAACGAAGCCAACTACGAAGCGACCTTGTCGCCGCACTTCGAGGACGAGCTGCGCCGCATCAAGGGCGCCGTCTTTCGCAAGTCGACCGTGTAATCTGCATGACACCTTGATTTTTCAGTCGACTATGCATAAGGATGGACAGACTAATAGCCAAAACGACAGAATAGTGTACAATATCGTCTAGTGTCAGTAGTATTTCCGAGTTACCAGTAATCTTCGATGAGCGGGTTGGGAATTTTCTCGGAAGACGACGCGGTCGCACTCCCCGAGGCCGAGCACGACAAAAAATCATAGTCCTTGATCTCAAAGTCCTCGACAAAGTCGTACTCGTCCGGCTTGGCCTCGGACGCGTCGTCGTCATCAGCACCACTGTGGCGCGAGGCCAGCTCGGCTTCGACGAGGCCCAGAAACTGCACGCGAAGCTCGACGATCTGGCCGTACGGGAACGGGCCCAGGAACGCCTTGTCGAACGCGAGCCGGAGGAGTGTGTCGCAGACGCAGTAGTCGTCGGTGCGGCCCCAGTGCGACGTCCGGTACGGGGCGGTCGCGCGCCGCAGCGACTCGGTCGAGAACTTGAGCGTCTCGTACACGTCAAAGGCTTCGTCGCATGCGAGGATGGCATCCGCGTGGAGCTTGAGAAGCGTGAGGCCGATGCGGTGGATGACTTTGGCGCCCTCGGCAAAGAAGACGTCCCAGACCCGCAGCGTCGTCTCGAGCGGCAGCGAATTCACAAAGAGACAGAGGAACCACTTGAACGTGAGCGGCGCGAGGTGCACGTGGAGCGTGTTGAGGTGCGCCGCGACCTCAGGCAGCTTGTGCGCGACGAGGGCATGGAAGACGTGCTGGTCGACGCGGGAGCCGACCATCGACGTTGTATGGTACTCGGGCACCAAGTCTTCAATGACGCACGCTAGGACCCAGAAGGCTTCTTCCTCGCCCATGTACACGAGGAGAACGGCAGCGAGGAAGTTCATGCTCTGGCAGTACCCGACGCTCGGGTTGCGGAGGCTGTACATGGAGAGGACGCGGCGCAGCTCCGAGATGTTGCCCTCGCGCTCGTCGCGCGTGTCGGGCTCCTGCGGAAACGTCCGGTACAAGTCCTTCTCGATCTCGTTGACCACGTCGTTTGGGACTTCGTCGACGCGCCAGAGAAGCGCGTCGTACTGCGCATCGGGTGGCGACGACGACCGCTTTTGCTCGGCGCCGCTGCAGAGGAACCAGACTTGGCCGCGGTACTCGATCGGGATGCCGGCGCGCAGCATCGACTCGACCTGCCACTGCCCGAGCGAGAAGCCCATGAAACCCATGTTGCCAGCGTCCGAGAGCGACCGCCGGCGAAAGCCCGACGACGACGCCTCGTGCTTGGGCTTGGGCGGGCCGTGGAACGAGGCGCGCGAGCGTTCCGTGTCGTGCGCGACCGCATCTTCTTCGAGACGGCGCCGCCATTTCTGGAACCAACTGAGCTCCCACTCCTTGGAGATGAACTTTTCTTCCCACTTCTTCTTCTTCATGCTCGTCATCGTTGTCAACTCGATCTGGTGGTCAAAGCTGAGCGGCTCGCGCGCCGACCGGGATGGCGAGCTCGGGCTCTCGAGGAACCGGCAGCGAAAGTGATTGGACCCGTTGCAATTGCATGTTGTATGGAGCGTCGGGGTCTTGCGGTACTTGGTCGTGACGCGCGGCTGGGCCTTCTCGGTCGAGAAGAAGCGGCGCCGGCCCACCTTCGTCGGCGAGCAGGACATGGAGTGGCGCAGCACGCGCGCCGGTGTCTTGCGCTTCTCTACCGGCAGGCAGAAGCGCTCGCGCGGGCGCATGCACTTGAGGAAGCCGCCATGGCCGTCGTCCTGGCCTGCATGTGCCATAGGACCCGTCGGCGCAGTAACAATCGATGATCTGCCGAGGCCAGTACCTGCTTGACCTAGATCTGATTTTTTAGTGTGTCACTGCCTTTTTATTCGCCCGATCACTTGCTGTTTGTATGCGATCGGGGCCGGCGCCTGCAATTTAATGCACATGTCGCGTGCCCCGTACCGTCGGATCCTAATTAGGCTCCAAAACAGGATCTCGACGCCCAAAGCAGTTACAGCGGCTTGCGTTTCGGAAGATCGCATCATTTGGTGGACGGACGATGGCCGACGGCGCATGGAAGAGCATACGCTTCGACGAGCTCCGAGTGGGCGAGAAGATCGGCGGTGGCGGCGTGGGCATCGTCTACAGTGGCACGTACCGCGACCAGCCCGTCGCGCTCAAGACGCTGGTGCGACGTCTGCAGCGATACCACGCACGCCCATACATGCTTGGTGTAGTTTGATCCGCGCGTCGACCAAGCGCTCAAGGACGAGTACATGGACGAGCTGCTCGTCATGAGGTTGCCCGATATATAGCGGTATGGCGCCTCACGTCGCCGCTTTAGCAAGCTGCAGCACCCGCACGTCGTGCACTTTATTGGCGCGTGCATGGAAGCGCCCAACTTGTGCTTTGTCATGGAGCTCTGCAACATGTCGCTCTTCGACCGCCTCCACCGCACGAACCTCGCACTGAGCGTGACCGAGCTCGTCGAGATTGCGGTGCGTCTCATACAGGCTCCACTCGATGTCTCTCACGCGCATCGTAGACGGGCGTGGCCGACGCCATGAAGTATCTCCACGCGCAGTCACCGGCCATCATTCATCGGTAATACATGCCATATCCTTGGATGGCCATTGATGCGTCTTGCCAGCGACCTCAAGAGCCAAAACGTGCTTCTGGACATGCGTGGCGTGGTCAAGCTCTGCGACTTTGGCCTCGTCTGGTACGTCGTGTTCTGCCGTGGCAAACACGTCGCACATTACTTCCTGATCTAGCACCAAGGAGACGACGGCGGGGACACCAGCGTACATGCCACCCGAGCTGCTCGCGGGGCGTCCGTTTTCCAAGGCCGTCGACGTGTACATGTATGGCGTCCTGCTCTGGGAGGTGGGATCTTCTGCTTGTACGGGACCGGATAGCATCAGTTGGCGTCTAGCTCTTTGCTCGCGACGTGCCGTTTCGCGGCTACGACGTCGACGACATCCAGCGCAAGGTGCTGAATGGCGACCGGCCGCAGATCCCGACGCTCGATTGCCCTCAAAAGTGCCAGGTATGATAGTCGGGACCCGACCGATTGACCAAGATGCCTAGGACCTCATTCGCAAGTGCTGGGACCACGAGCCGGCGCGCCGCCCGTCGTTCGAGACGATTCATGCGACGCTCCGCGAGATCGACTGCGCGACCGAGTTCCACCGCGCAATGGACCACGTCATGGAGGAAGACGCGCTCGACTGCCTCGTCAAAAAGCGGAAATAGCGCTCAGCGTCGACCGACGATCCATCTGCTTCATCTCCTTCGCAATACGAACCTTCATACGATGTACTACCTGCGATGCCTTTGGACACGCGACAGGAAGCCAGATGCGTGGATGGAGGCGTTGGCGGGGAGGACGACACCACCTCGTTGGTCTCATCTTTGCCACGCAGCCCTTGCAGGTGACCTGAAACTGTACGTATACCTTGCTCTCGCCGTGTCCTGCTGCAAGTAATCGCAATAGAAGTGGCGTCGACTGCGGGCGCCATGCCTGCCAGCGTTTTCTCGATATCGCGCATCCTCCAGACGCAGAAGACCACGTTAGCATGCAGCATTCGTTAAGGATCAGGACTCGCGCCCAAACAAGTCGAGGCCGAGGTCGTTCCAGCGCTCGGTGCGCTCGGTGCGGAAGCCGGGAAGCACTAGCATCGTAGGGCAAATGTACAAGGCAATAAACTACAGAGCACCATGTACCTGGACCCATGAGCGGAACGCCGCTCTCTTCCGCGTTGAGGTCCATGCCCAGCGGGATCTCGATCTCTATGCACGTTGAGCGGGCCATGATCACGATCAGGGTCATTGTCTACCGTCGTCCGAGAGGCAGTCTTGCATCCACGCTTCGTCCACGACGTCTAGCAGCATGCGCTCGCGGAAGACGGAGACCACCTTGCTGTCCTATGTACATGCAGCATGCGCTGAGACGTCATCGACATCGCTGGCCGCGCACCATGGAGGTCGAAGATCGAAGTTCAAAAAGCGAAGTTGCAACGGCGATTGACAAGGGCAGCAAAGGGCGGACAGTCGGCCGCGTCGTCGGAAGCCAGTGGCATGCAGCGCGCTGGATCCTGCGGAGATGGAGCTGCCATGGGCGTGATGGGCGGCCATTGGCCTTCGCGCTGCGTGCGCGGTTGGCGGCGCGGGCTGAGCGCTTTGTGACGTTGGTGACGTGTTCAACATGCATTTATTACAGAGCTTACTGCTCGCCCGACTGCTGGGCCTTCTTTTGCTCAAACTGTGCCGGTGTCCACGTCTTCATCTGGAGCGCGTGGATCGAGGTCATTTCTTCCTTGAGCGCTTCGTTCACGGCGCGCTGGCGCTGGAGCAGCCCCATGCCCTGGAAGAGCGGGCTCACGACAATGACGCTGAACTTGGTGCCGCAGCCGTCCGAGTTGTCTTCGACCTGGATGTACGTCACTTGCAGCGCCGCTTCGAGCTTAGCAGAGAGTTCGGCCGTGGTCACCATCGTCGTCGTGTCGGACGGATTCGCAAATGAATTCGTTCAACCCGCGAGCACCATTATCCGGAGGTCGCTCCTCGTTATCCGGTATGCGACTGGGACATCCCGCGATGCATCATCGTTTGGGATGATGGCATCGGGTGCTCCATCATGCACGCGATGATGGCATCGAGGAAGCTAGTGGCAGCCAGGAGGCGTCCGCCACTGCGCCTGCAAAGGAGCTGGAGCGGATGGGTGACGCAGCTTCCAGTGCCCACATGCCCATCCTTCCAACGACCCTCGCAGTTCAGTACAGTACTGGAACATTGCAGCTCCAACACGCACAGCATGTGTAGTAGTATGTGCTCAGCTAGTTTATGGCTCGCGCCCTTTTTTGGACTCGGAGCTAACCCATAGCGTTGTCGATATGCGCATGCAGCCAAGAATTGGTCGAGGTCGTCGCCAACAGCAGAGTATGTAGTCCAGAGGACCTGTCGACCATGCGCGTAGGCGCTTCCGCACGCCTGATGCGACTTTGGATGCGTCATCTTGCCGGAATCGCGCTTCCGCCTGCAGGCGCCGTGCCCCTTCTCTCATGGTGGAGTCGGATCGGGCATACGCAGTGTTGATTCGCTCGTAAATCGAATCTTTTTGACCAGTAAGCCGCAGCGTTGCGCGGATTGGTGCAAAAGCGACCAATGAAGCGAGCTGGCTTGCGATTGGTGGAGATCGAAATCGTCGTTTTGGATTGGGTGGTCCCGGCGAGTGCTCGGCTGGTGCAACTAAGATCTACTACGCAGCATACTCCATTTAGCAGTGATCTACAAGTGAGCTTCTATACCATGTCTGACGCCGCCGTGAACCCCAAGGCCTACCCGCTCGCCGATGCCAAGCTCACCGTGAGCATCCTCGACCTCGTGCAGCAGGCCACCAACTACAAGCAGATCAAGAAGGGCGCCAACGAGGCCACCAAGACGCTCAACCGTGGTATCTCCGAGTTCATCGTGATGGCCGCCGACACGGAGCCGCTTGAGATCCTCCTCCACTTGCCGCTCCTCTGCGAAGACAAGAACGTCCCGTACGTCTTTGTCCCGTCCAAGGTCGCCCTTGGCCGTGCCTGCGGCGTCTCGCGCCCGGTCATCTCGGCCTCGATCACGTCCAACGACGCGTCGCAGCTCGGCCCCCAGATCCGCGCCATGCGCGAACAGATCGAGCAGCTCCTCATCTAAGCATGAGATCGAGCCACGACTTGAGCGCATGTAACTTAACACATGTAAATTTAAATGCTCCACGACAATCCTTATTTATTTGCTGGTGACCATAAGCACATATTCGCGCGAGCTTTCGCCAAAGGTCAGCACATCGCGCTCGCGGAGCTCAATGTAGCGCGAGTGGTCGATCTTCTTGCCGTTCAGAAACGTGTGGTTGGTGCTTTTGAGGTCCATGATGTACGGCTTGATGGTCTGGATGAGCTCGGGCTGGTCGAGCTCCGACGCCCGGTGCTCCGTCACGCGCAGCCGGAACTGCAGTACCGCGTGCTGCTTCGAAATCGACTCGTGCTCCATGAAGACGTCAGCCACCTTCTTGTCGCGACCAAAGAGGCAGGCGCTCTGTCGGTGCAAGTGCAGCGTCGCTATGCACGACCAGCGTGAGCTCCATGTCGTGGAATATGCAATCGAACGCACCAATGTTTTCATCCTTCTTGAAGACGTAGAAGCGCCAACGCTTGTCGGGCACGCGGGCTTCGGGCGGCTCGCACCACTTCATGACGACGCCATTCCGCGTGTTGCCCGTCGCGCTGTCTTTCGCCAAGGCGCCGCTCAAGCCAAAGTTGGGCTTCTGCACGACGACAGGCTCCTCGTTCGGGTCCTTAGGCTCCTCGGGTTGGCCCCACCTGCATAGATGAGGCTGCATGAGCTGCAAAGTTCGTCATCGCAGCTGCCTTACGCAAACTTCTCGCCCTTGCCGCCGTCCACGAGGTGCGTAAAGTCGCGCGGCTTGACGTGGCCATTCCGCTGGCGCGGCTCTCGGCTGCGGGACCGCGACCGCTGTCGGGCGTCGCTCCGGTCACGCGACCGGGATCGGGATCGGCGGCGACGGTCTGCCATCGCTCGTCTGTTTTCTGCGTTTGATGGCTGGTCCAAGCCTCGACTCGGCTTTAGTTTAACCCATTGTCCCATTCTGTGCACTCCTCTTTTGTATGAAGCTTTGAGGGACCCAGTGGGAGAAAGGTGGGAAATAGCATGTGCCTAGTTAGTCGGCGCGTAGTCGATCGAGCGCTGACCATCACTCATATCGAACAACCTTGCAGCGAGTGGGTCATTTGCCATGACGACGGCTCAAGCAGCGACCGAACCGACGCCGACGCTCGAGGAGCTGCAGCAGTCGCACTCTGGCGCGAACCTCGACCTCGTCCTGCTCTTCGCCTCGCGCAGCGTTTCCGAGATTGCGGCGCGCGTCGACTTTCTCCTGCGCTCTGGCCAGCGCATGCTGCTGCATGAAGAGCTTCCGCGCGCCTGTGGGTCCGTCGCCAGCGTGGACGCTCTTGAGATTTTCCTCCTCTTCCTTGAACACCAAGCCACGGTACGCCGCTACCTCCACCATGAAGCCTCTTACGACAGCGTTGTAGGAGCACCCGGCCGCGCTGAGCGTGACCATGTCGCTGCTGCCGCAGCTGCCCACCGCCGAGCTCGTGTCATCGAGCGTACAAGAGGCGGCGACGCGCTTCTTCCAAAAGCACCTTCCGATCAAGGCGACCAACACGTCAATGACGGGTCTCTTTTGCGCCTTGTACGACGTGCCAATGGCCCTGCGCGTCGACACGTTCAACGCATGGCTGCGCCTCGACTCGGTGGCCGCGCTCAAGTTCCTCGAGGCCGGCCACGTCGCAGCCCACGCCGATGTAGATGCGACGCTGCGCTTCCTCGTCGAGAAGACGCACTTTAACGCGGCAGACCGCCTCGCTGTGCACGTGCCGTCGCTCCAGCGGGCGTACGTGCAGGCGCTCGTCGACACGTACGCGGACGCCAAGGTCACGAAGAAGCGCATCACCCGCTTCAACTTTCTGCCCGACGACTTTCCCGAGTTTGTTGCTCGGTAGATGCAGCTCTCGCCGTCTCGATTCTCATTATGCTACTGCGTAGGCGACGCCGGGCGACCATCAAGTACCTTGTCAAGGCCGGACAGTTCGGCGACGTCGACCAAGCCGTCGGTGGCGACGCGAGTGCGATGAAGTTTGCGTGTCGCTGCGCCTACGACACGTGCGGCGCCGACAGCGACGTCACGCGGCAGTTTGTGCAACAGTACAACCTCGGCAGTCTCTTCCCGGACGTCGTCGCATCGCCGGACGCCGGCGACCTCTCGCTTCTGATGGACGACCCGCCGCGCCTCGACGGCTTTGCCTCGATCCTCACGTACATGCCACGCAGCCACATATGCTTTCTCGCATCGCCCGAGGACGTATCCAGCGCACTGGCCGACTTGCTCGCAGCGCCGTGTGTCGGTCTCGACTGCGAGTGGCGCGCCTCGTACAACTCGTTCACGTCGACCGGCAGTATGGGTAACCCGTGCGCGCTGCTGCAGCTTGCGACGAGCTCGCATGTCTACCTCATCGACATGCTCGTGCCCGGCATGCTGGACCCGTTGGCGCCGTGGCTGGCGTCGCCGTCGTCGCTCAAGCTCGGCTTTGACATCAAAAGCGACCTCGCCGCGCTCCAAGCGCCATTGGTGCGTGGCGTCGTGGACCTGCAGACAGTCGCCAAGAAGACAAGTCTTCTCCCCTCGAACCGGCCGTCGCTCTCGGACCTCGCCCTCAAGTACCTCGGCCTTCCACTTGACAAGCGTGTGCGCATGTCCAACTGGGAGCGCCGCCCGCTCACAGACATGCAAACTGAGTACGCCGCTTTGGACGCCTACGTGCTCGTTGCGGCGTACGCGGCCGCCATCTCGGCTCCGAACGTTGCGGCGGCCGTCGCCCACTGCCGCTACGACGCGGGCAGCACCAAGACAGATGCCATCGCCCCTGTATCATCGACTTGAGCTCCGTTAATCGACTACGAGTACACTTTAGACGACGAGTACTAGTAGATTGTAGAAGCGTTAGGCTGCCATGAAGCTCGAGAGCGCGTCGGCAAACACGACAGGCTCCGACTCGGCGGGGAGCAAAAGGTGTTCTTGGATCGCCGGCGGCAGCGCCGACGCTTTGAGAAAAAACTCGTTGAGTTTGAGCTGGAGCATGTCCTTTTCTTCGCTCACGGTGCGCAGCTGCGCGATCGCGTCGTGGGCCATCGACGCACGCGCCGTCACATCGGCCAGTCGCGCCGCCTCGGCAGCGGCCAGTTGCGCTCGCAGCGACGCTTCTGTCTGCAGCGACTCGGCGAGGCGGTCGACAAGCGCCGTCCGCGCGACGGCCTCGTCCGCGCGCGTCGCCTCCATCTGCGACATGTCGCTTTTCAATGACGCAATCGACTCGTTGGCCGCCTTGACGTCGATCTCGCGCTGCCGCAGCGCTTCTTGGAGCTGGACGATCGTCGCTTGCGCCGCCCCGAGCTCGTCGCGCGTCCGGCGCGTTTCGTTGACGTCCATGTTGACGCGCGCGAGCGACGCGGCGTGGGCCTTGGCCTGCAAGGCTTGTTCTTGCTGCAACCGCGCCTCGAGCGTCACCTTTTCCCGCTGAAAGTGCTCGAGCAGCGTCGTGTGCTTGGCCTTGTACGCCGCGTCCAACGCATTGCGCTCGTCGGCGAGCTGGTCGTCGGTCCATGCGGCGTACGCGGCGGCGGTCGCGTGCTGGAAAAAGGCAGCGCCGTCGGCCGCGACGCGCTCGCTCCAGACGCGGTGCTTGGCCGGGCCGCGACATGCGTCGTGGTACTGAGCCGAGATGGTTAGGAGCGCGGACGCGGGCTCTTGCGAGCGATCCGCCGTCGCCGCGTGCCAGAGCTGCGTGCACAGCGCCGAGCAGAACGCCTCCGAGTTGGCGTCCAGCGCGTCTCGCTGGTCGCGATCGAGACGCCGAAGAGCGTTCAGAAGCGCCGCCTTGGCCTTGGACCGGGCTGGCGCTTGGGGAAAGGCCGCGCCGGACGCAAAGAGACCGAGCGCCATCCGAGACACGTCGTCGTGCAGCGTCTCGTACGCGGGCAGCTCGAGCGGCGGCGACTCGGTGACCACGCCGTCCATCGCATCTCGGTACGTCTGGAGCGCATCGGCAACAATGGGCTGGCACTGCAGGTCGACGACGTGGTCCCAGGCGGAGAGGAGGTCCAGCGCGCCGTCGGCCGTCGGCTGCAGACACGCGTCGAGGAACGCAATGAGGAGCGGTCCGGTGAACGTCACGTTGAAGAGCCGCTTCTCGGGCACCGCGTCGAGAAGCGTGGCGCGGCAGACGCTGAGAAAAGCGTCGTCGGCGTCGGTCGGAAGCTCGATCGTGCCAACGTGACGCGCTTTCACGAGCTGTGCGTCATGTGGGCGACCGCCGACGCCGGGCCACGCACCCGGTGTGAAGACTGGCGACAAGCCAGGCGTGATCCAGGCCATCGACGGCAGAAACGGAGCTACGTCGGGTGTGTCGTTGCTGAGTCCTTGCAGCAAGTGCGCCGCCGCGTCGACTTCGCCGCTGCCAATGTGGAGGACAAGGCTGGCGAGTGCAACCGCCACTGCGCGGAGAGGGCTCGGGCCCGACGGCAGCTGCAGATCGAGCAATAGCACGCACCGACCGGATTGCATGTAGTCGGCGGAGCCTACAATGTAGATGCCAGGCGCGGTGCTGGACGCATCGCGGGCGGGCGGACCTTCACCGAGCACGCGGCTCGCATCGCGTAGCCGGTCGGGCCCGCCTGTGACGACAAGCGTGCCAATAGGGTACTCGAAGCCCTGGAGGAAGGCGACGCCGGCGGCGGCGAGGTGCATCGTCTCGCCGTCGTCCTCGATGAGCCGGATCGGCGCCGGCGGCCATTCCCACACGACCTCTTCCGTCATCACTCGAATTTGCAATAGCCAATCAAATCGCGTCGAAGATTTTGGTTTGGGCCGATGGGCTCGCGCTGGCAGCAGCTCTACGGTCGCGCCGTGCCACCCGAGAACCAAGCCGACGAGGCGCGTGACGACGGCGACTCGTGGGTCGACGCGTGGCAGCGGCATGCGCTCGTCGACGACGCGCGTCACCGCATCCTCGACAACAACGCCACCAATAGCGACGACGACGTGGCTTTTCCGTGGCCTCCGCCCATGAGCCATCTCGATGCTGCGCCTGAGGTCGACGCCGATGTCCAGGCGCAAGCCAAGAAGCACATCCAGGCGTGGCTGTACGTCGAAGAATCGGCCAAGACCATCAAGTGGGCAATCTACTTTGTGCAACGTTGCCCATGGTATCGATGTGTAGGCAAACACTGCAGAGTGGGAAGCCGTCGCAGCCAAAGCGACAGGTGAACGCACCAGCAATGACCATGCCAAGAGCGTTGTGGGTCTAGATTCTACAGCAACCACCGCCGACAGTGGCGAGATATCGGCCTGCTGCGCCTGCTCGACAAGCCCAGCGCTCGGTCGCGCCGGTGCCCACAAAGGCCAAGACACCCGTGCTCTCTCGATCCGCCGTTCGTAGCATGCCAAAGACGGGGTCTCCTTTGCTGGTAGAGCAACCTACTCGTCGCACTCGAGGTGCTTCGTCGACAACGGTCTTCAAGCCGCGGGCTCAGAGCGCCCCAAACGAGCTGTCCCGGCAAAACGCCGTCGCGTCGCGCCGACTCGCGCAGGAGATCACGCGCGTCTCGGCGCTCCAGGAAGCCAACGCCCAGCGTACGTATGCCCGCACCATCCTCCGTAAGTCGTGGAGTACCTGGGTGCGTTCGATGGTGTGTGGACGAGCCGACCTGCAACACGCGACCTACACGCACCACCTCTCGCTGCTACAGCGTCACCTGCACGGATGGCGCCGCGTGGCCAAGGCGCATCAACGTGTGCGTGTTGCTGCCCATGCGCAAGCGCGGCTCGAGACGCTCCTGGTGCTCGAGCGCCTCGCAGGTCAGCACTACCGCGCGAAAGCTCTCTTTCGGTGCTTTGTACGCTGGCGCGCATTCGCAGGCCGCAGCAAGCGCGAGAAGGCGCAGTGTGTCGGCGCCAGCCAGCGCCGGCAGCTGGCCGCAACGCTACTGACCGCTGCGCTGACACCCAACGTCGCGTCGCGCCGCCATAGCGGGACCTCGCCGGCGTTTCCCAAGCAAAACGTCGTGCGTCGGTCGGTGCAGCAATGGACGCAACAAGCCGCTGCTAGCCCCGTGAAGGGCCAAGCCACGAGTCCGCTGCCACCCAAGAAGCCAAAGCCCAAAGTCAAGATATCGCGATGCGACGCACCGCCGCCGGCCGCCATTGTCGACATGCACGTGCGCATGGCCGAGCGCAAGGCGCGCTGGGACCTACTCCAAGAAAGGTATCGGCTCAAGCAGGCTTTGGCTGCCGAGGTCGAGGCGCAGATGCGAGCGGCCCAAGCCGCTGCGGCCGAGCAGGAGCGTCTGGCGGCGATCGAGCGCAAGCGGGCGTTGAAGCGGTACACATGGAAGAGATTGGTGCTTTATCATATATCACGACCTCTGTGTGTAGCGTGGCGCAGCGCAAGGAGGAGGCGGCGTTGCAGGAGAAAGAGCTGCGTCGCCAGCAACTGCTGCTCGCCAAGCGCCACGCCGCCCGTGCCACTGTGTACTGGCGCGGTTTCCTTCCGTGGTGGCACCGCCACGTCTACACAAAGTTCTCAATATCGTCGAGCGTACGCGTGGACTGATGCGCATCTAGACGGCTATTGACCAAGGCGGTCAACTGGCACCACGACACGCTGCTTTGCTCTGTGTTTCGTGCGTGGACGAGGTTTCTACTGGCGGCGCGGGCCGACCGCGTCCGTGCAGAGGACGAAGCGCTCGATGATGCGCGATGGTATCATCAGTACCGGCGCCTCCGCGTGCTCTTTGCTCAGTGGAAGGTGCAAACGTGTCGTCCATCGGGAGAGATCTAAGATTTGAGGCGATGTAGGCAACGCACATACAGACACAGCGCAAGGCTGAGAGCATCGCCCAGCAACACGGCTGGCACCTCGTGGCTGCAATATGGCAGAGCATGCATTCGCGCGTGGCTGCGCGCGACGCGCAAGTGCATGCGGCGCAGAGTCGGCGGATGCGACGGCAATGTGTTCGGGTCGTCGCCGCGTGGCGCGCGTTCGTGCGAGCGTCGCAAGCCGCGGCCGAGATCGAGAGAGAGAAAGAGAGCATGCGACGCCAAGTGTTCGAGTGGCTACGCGAGGCCGGGTAAATGTATGGTATTCACAAGCACGACAATCCAGTCACTGCAGCCTAGCTGAACCGACGCTTCTGGTTGAAGCGGCGCATCTCGTGTATTGCCGAGTCGAGCGGCTCCTGGCTCGCCGACATGGTGCGCGCCTACGAGCGATAATGCGTGAGGAGAGAGGTTAGGGTAGAATAACGGGCGTACGCGGATCCACGGGTGCTCGAGCGCTTGCTCGGCGCTAAAGCGCTGGACCGGGTCGACGTTGAGGAGGTTGCGCAAGAACGACTTGGCGATGTCCGAGACGTTGGTCCAGTACGGGTCCGGAAACTCGAGGACGCCCGACGTGATCTTGCGGTACACCGACTCCATGCCCGTCTCGTCCTCGGTGAACGGCGGGAACCCGCAGAGCATGATGTACACGACGACGCCGAGGCTCCAGAGGTCCACCTTGCTGTCGTACCCATTGTCGTTGAGCACTTCGGGGGCTACGGACAGATCATGAGCTTGGGCTTGTTGAGGGAAGGAAGAGGCTCGTACCAACGTAGTAGTCGGTGCCGCAGCTCGTGTAGGCGCGACCGCGGACGTTGGCACGACCGTACCCGGTCATATCGTCGTCTTCGTCTTCGAGGATTTTAGCGATTCCAAAGTCGCTGATCTTGATGTCATGGCGGCTGTCGCTCGTCGCCAAGAGGAGGTTCTCGGGCTTGATGTCCCGATGCAAGATGTTGTGGTCGTGGAGGTACTCGATCGCGAGAAGGAGGTTCGCGACGATCTCGGTCGCCTGGCGCTCCGAGTAGACACCGACTTGGACGATGCGGTCAAAGAGCTCGCCGCCCGTCGCCCTAGCACGCAGACGTTACAGGCCATGCACATCATCGGGCGATGCGTGTACCGCTCCATGACGAGGTAGAGCTCCGTGTCGCTCTCATAGACCGCTTCGAGGGTAATGATGTTGGGATGCTTCACTCGCATCAGGACCGCGATCTCGTCGCGGAGGCTCTTCTTCTTGAGGCAGAGCTGCTTGTTGATGACCTTGACAGCAAACTGCTCGTTGGAGGTCTTGTGGCGGCAGGCGTACACCATGGAGACGCTGCCTCGGCCGATGAGCTCGCCGATCTCGAACCAGTGGTGGAACATGGCGGGCGTGTGCACGTCCGCGAGGCCATGCGTCACGAGGAGCTCTTCCTCCTTCCGGAAGAACGCCGAGAGCGGGGGGGCTAGCCTCCATCATGAGCCTCCTCCCTCGGGCAGGTAGATGGCGGGCGTACCTTGGAACGCGGGGGCCGTCATCTTGCTGGAGATACGACGTCTTCTAAGGTAGGAGCGACGTGTAGGGCTGCTTGCGATGTCTACCTTGACATGCAAAGCAAATTAAACCCAACATTCGCCTGCCGCGGGGCCGGAGCATTTCCTCCAATCATACGCGAAGAAGCGTAATTACAGCCAATCAGAGGCGACAACGCTGCTGAAAATATTTGTCGTCTATACCTGCGCCCCAAAACCGAGGGACGACCACCCATCCCACATCTTAGCGCGGCTGCGTCGCCATGGCGTCGACTCGACAGGCCGTGGGACGCCTTGTGCCGATCACAATGCTCCGTGTATATACATGCTCCATGCACAGCGCTTCTCTTTTCTCGGAATTTGACCTTGCAGTTGCGCGCGCAGTTGGTGCCTGTTGCCGGTTGTGATGATGATGACCTCATGTTCCCACGTTATGTTGAACGATTCGGGCTCGAGGAGGACGAAGGTCGCCGAAGCCGGTTGCCATTGAGCATCGGCGCACACCCGTGCGGTTGCTTGGTTTTGATGCCCGTGAGGGGAGCGGTGGTCGGTGGGAGGGCGCTCGACGTTTCTGTCGCGACACCGCACGCACGCACGACTGGTATTAGGTCATTCGACTGGGCCAGTCGTTTCAGGTGGAGCCCATCGCGCTCGCCGGATCAAAGACATACCGCCTCCATGTACGTTGGAGGAGGCCAAGATTCGCATGTTCAAGTACCACGCAGTTGCGTTCGAGAAGAGACGCCCGTGACGGATCATGTCCGTAAGCTCGACGCTCGTGAAGCCGGAAATCTGCACTCAATTAAGGCATTAAGGCAATGGGACCGCGTCTCTTTGCCATCGTGGCGTCTGCCATCCGTCCGCGCCTCTAAAAGTCGATATCCGGATGCGGACAGAAATCCTGTGGCCGCAAGTTTCTCGATCCTTCTTCTCTCTCATGCTCGCAACGACGTCACGGCTCGTGCTGCGGCCGCTGGCG